TTTCCACTTCGTTTGGCAAATTTTTTCTCCCGCAGCCCATCCCGCCATAGGTCCCCCTCAGTGTGTGTGAGGGGGGACCCTCGCCCCTCACAGCAACAGCACCCGCGGCCAAAGGGTTAAACATTAACTTTAAACATTCCCTGTCCCGCACGAGCTCCTTTTTCCGTGAGCCCGAGGTGGGCTTTTCCCCCTCTCCTTAAATAACGAGGGTGGTCCCAGCATACTCTATATCGAGACAGCTTTTCATCAGTTGCTCATCAGCATGCTAATTGCTGTATGACTAATTATGCCCTGAATTCCAGTTGATTTTCTTAATGAGACAGCTGGGTTAATTATGTAATCGTATGATTACATTAGCCCAGAGTGCCCTGGCGAAAAGGAAGGCGGGCGGGAGTGGGATGTCACCGGGCGAGGGGGGCACCCACGGCCACTAATGACCGGGGAGGGCAACCCCGCCACGGTGCTCGTGGTGTAAACACCGGGGTTAAATTATTAATAGTAAGGGCTGTGTCGTCTTCTCCCAGCTCCCAGAATGAGGGAGGAACAGGGGTTCATAATCAAAACTCACTTTGGAAGTTCGGGTGGTCGTCAGTGACCCTGTTGTATGTCCAGGGTTGAGGTGTGGTTTGGGCTGAGTGACATGGGGAGGTGGGCGGGTCACAGGATCAGAGAATATCCTGAGCTGGAAGGGACCCATAGGGATAATCCAGTCCAACTCCTGGCCCTGCAGAGGCACCCCAGCAATCCCACCCTGTACCTGAGAGCATTGCCCAAACACTCCTTTTGCTCTGTCAGCCTTGGGGCCGTGCCCGGTGCCCTGGGGAGCCTGTTCAGTGCCCAGCCATCTTCTGAGGGAAGAACCTTTTCCTGAGATCCAACCTAACCCTCTCCTGACACAGCTCCAGCCATTCCCTCGGGTCCTCTCACTGGTCACAGAGAGCAGGGACTGGGAGCTGCCCCTCCTGAGGAAGCTGCAGACCCCAATGAGTCTCCCCTCAGTCTCCTCTTCTCCAGGCTGAACAAACCAAGTGTCCTCAGCCACTCCTCATATGGCCCCTCTAGACCCCTCACCATCTTCGTAGCCTCCTTTGGACGCTCTCTAATAGCTCTAGATCTTTACTACATTGTGGTACCCAAAACTGCACCCTGGGTGATGAGGGGCTGCCTCTCACTGCTCATGTAACGTGCAGTTTGGGCAAGATCCATCTTTGAGTTTCTTTTAAAATTGTTCATAAAGCCAGTAGTTTACATGCATAAGCAGCAGCAGCAGCAAAAAAAAAAAAAAAAAAATTGTTTATTTTGCACTGCTATTCAAAAAAGATGCATCATCAGGGCATGTGTGTGGTGTGAGAACAGCCTCAGAGGTGTTGCTGGGGCTGGGTTGCTCCAGCTCATTTGATGTGAAGTATTAACTGCTGTTAAAATTACTTTACATTTGTAACATTAATTTTTTCACATCTGTGTCCATTGAGATGTGTCCATCCCCTTCCCTCCTCTGTGGGGACAGAAGCTCCTCTGCGAGGGGACAGTGGGGTGTCCCAGCAGTGAGCACAGGGATGGTGGTGAATCTGTTGGGAAGGAAAGGCAGAAATGGGCTTTGCAGGTCCTGGGTTTAAAATACTGCTTCTCCTGTGGTAGTGTGGAGGAAGCCTTGTCAGGGATCGGATCCAAATGTGCTGGGCTGTGTACGAGCACAGGATGCAGAGGGTTTCTCTGTGGGTATGGGATGCAACAAGTGCTTTAGGAAAAATGAACAGAATAGGAAGCAATAGAAAAAAATACACTGAATTTAGTATAAAAATAGGCATCTCAGTTTACTCTTGGGCAGTAATGATCTTGTAAAACACTTCTTCATGTTCTGGATGATCCTATTCCTTTTACCAATTTTCTCATTTTTTATTTATCCTGTGACTAGCAGGGATCCAGAACTTTTGCAAGAGATGATTCAAACCAAGAGAATAATGTGTGATGAGTTTTCCGCATTTCAGTGTTCAATGAGGTGATTTTTCTCTTTTACAGACCACAGAAAGGGCATTTCCTTTGCTGCCTCTCTCCATAAGCCAGGACCACTTGATTTTTTTTGAGCCGTGTGTGCCTGTTGTTTGTGTAATGAATCGAAAGTTTTGGTCCATTGCTTGTTTAAAAATTCAGTGACCTCCTGTTAAATGACATGAAACATACTTTGTAAGCCTGGTTAATATAAAAAGGTATGCTTTTCCATGCATGCATATGTTGGGAATAGGAGAGTATTTTTATTTATTTTTAAATCCACTCCACTCAGGTAAGAAAAAAGTCGTTGTGACTGTAAGGTTTATACTTGTTTCAGGTTAATTGGTGTTCATAAATACTCCAGAAATAACAGGTTTTTAGGTTTTTTAAGCTAAAAGAGCATGTTGGAGCTTGCCATAAGAAATGATTTGTGTCTCTGCCTGAAATGTCTTGGTCATTTTATTGTCATACAATGATTAGTTTTCTTTAGCGCAGTTTATAAAAATTAAGTCTAAGAGGTGTTTCAGCCCTGGGTTTTTTTACATGTCCTCCAGCAGTATTTAGTGGTTGCAGGCCATTAGTCCTTCAAATAGGCTCTAGTGAAGTTTAGGGTTTAATGCACAGAGACTTTTTTTACATTTTGTTTGTTCTGCCACTGTTTTGGTACTTGAACATTAACCTTTAATAGAGCTAAATTAAATATACATGTCCTGATGAATAATTATGAGATTGCAAGCATTTTCATTTTGTACATAAAGCTTCTCAGGGATTGCAAATTTGACTTAGGGTTTAGTCATTATTCACTTTATAATGCCCATGTTATTTTTGTCCTTTAATTCTTTACTGATTTCAATATAAAAAGCCCTGTGTACTCGGAGCAAAATGCCTCTTGTGGGTGTCCTGGCTTTTTACAATGGGCATGTTAAAACGAGAAGGGGAAAAAAAGCTCACCCACAATTTTGTGAGGTTCAGTTTCTTTCACCGTGGCGCTTTGACACCGTTCGATGGAAATCCCGCAGCCGAAGCTTCAGATTCCCCCCCAGCCCGATAACGATTCGTGGTTCCTGTAACAATTTAAGATGTGGATGGATTGAGACAATCCAGCCTTTCTTTATGTTCAGCAGATGAATGTCCCGGGCTGGCGCTCTGGGAGGAATGCTGAGCTGCAGGAGTGTGACAAAACGTTCCTTGCGGATGAAGGTCGGCAGACCTCCATGGGAGAGGGTGATGTTGTGACAGCCCACGCCGTAATTGGACCATACATAAATACTGCAGAGCCTTTAACTCGTGCTACTGCTGTGACTTCAACTTTATATTTAATTCCTTACCTGTACCCCCCTGTCTCTGCCACAATAACATTTTAAGTTTGATTTATTATAAATATTTTAATGCAGATAATAATAACGAAAAGTATTTGGCCTAAAAAGCATAAATGAAAAAGCTATGTAGTCATAAACTATGTATGTACAGAGAACAGATGACAAGCAACCTAGATTTTGTATTATGAACAGGGTAATGCCATAAGCTGTTGAAGAACTGGAGTAACAAAATGCAGCAGGCTGCTACTTAGAATGTCTCTGAGCTCAACATAACCCAGTGCTATTCTTTTATAAACTATGCAACAACGCTGGCATATTGAAAAAACACACAGGCTCATGCTTAATGTGTTAACAGAGGTACAATAGACTTATTATGTGTTTCCAGAGACTGAGGGTGGTCTGAAAAATTAATGACTGTGGTGGTTGAAAATTAAGTGAACTCCCTAATATATACTGTTGTTGATCCACTGAGTTTGGTGTTTAGCATTCCTCAACAGGAGACTAAATCTTTGCAGCCATTTCACAAGAGATGCTGGCGCCCACAGCAGAAATATATTCAATAATCTTTTATAAGTCCATCACACTCCAATGTTTCCCTACTCTAACTGGGAAGAAGTCCCAGAGTAAATCACACGTGCACATGTCAGGTGTGTGCTGGGGATCCTCTTTATCAGAAGGGGATGAGCATCAGAGTATTCATTTTTGAGTGGACATTTGATTAATAGTATTAGAAACAGAGGGATCCAAACCCAAGGTTCATGGAGTTATTTACATCCACACAGTATTTCTGATTGTTATTGATCTGTCAGTTAGAACAAGTATAGCTCAGATCTCCGTGATCAAATAACCTCTTTGAGCTCCGCTGTGCAGGAGGGCACAGTTTACTTCAGAAATTCACTCCTGCAGAAGCAGAGGTGTGTGAGGGACAGTTGCTGTCAGTGAGCTGAGCAGTTTAATTGCTTTTTACACAAAAATTCTCATTTTGCAAACAAAAACTCACGTGGCTTTTGTATCATGACTGCCTGCACCCAGGGACACTCCCTTGTGGATTAACACCAGGGTGAAGAAGGCATGTCCCAATTTCATGGAATCCTGGAATGCTTTGGGATGGAAGGCACCTTAAACACTATCTCAATTCATCCCCTGCCATGGGCAGGGACACCTTCCACTACCCCAGGTTGCTCCAAGCCCCGTCCAACCTGGCCTTGGACACTTCCAGGGCTGGGGCAGCCGCAGCTTCTCTGGGCAACCTGTGCCAGGGCCTCCCCACCCTCACAGGGAAGAATTTCTTCCCATTATCCCATCTAACCCTGCCCCCTGGCAGTGGGAAGCCATTCCCTGTGTCCTGTCCCTCCATGTCCTTGTCCCAAATCCCTTTCCAGCTCTCCTGGAGTCCCTTTAGGCACTGGAAGGGGCTCCAAGGTCTCCTCAGAGCCTTTTCTCCAGGCTGAACACCCCCAGCTCTCCCAGCCTGGCTCCATATTTAAGGGGTAACACAGATATGATGAAATATTTCTGGTTTTTGAAGTTTGCAGTGTATGAGGAATGTACAGGACTGATAACTCCAAATAGAGCCTTACTGGCACTAAAATGCATATTAACAGATAAAAAAAGGGCTCTTGAGTTCTGAACTGCCTGAGTCAAAGAAGTGGTCCTGTTGTCTTATGTTCCATTTCACTGTTCCTCTTTCAGATCCGGTTCCAGCCTTGGATTTAGGACAGCAGCTTCAGCTGAAGGTTCAACGCATGCACGATATTGAAACAGAGAACCAGAAACTTAGGGAAACTCTAGAGGAGTACAACAAAGAATTCGCCGAGGTGAAAAATCAGGGTACGTTGCGAACATATTCTTTGATCAGCTTTTAATGCACCCTGAAGTTTAAAGGCAGGGATTAAATTCGATTTTATTTCGTACAAGGAGAGTTGACAGCAGCACTGAAATTCAGCATAGAAAGTACAGTGGTCTGTTAGAGCCATTTCTGTGTTTATGACTTTGGGTAGACTCTTTGGATTTGTTTAAAATTTCATTTCCTGTAACACCAAGGCAGAGGATGGAGTTGTTATTCTGCGTATTATGTTGTAGCCTTCAGCCCCCAGAATTACACCTGGCTGACGTTATATGTGACATTTTATGAGAGACAGTGCTGGTACTGACATCAAGCTGAATGTGGGTGTGGGTGCTTGTGGAACATGCATCTTGCACAGACAGACGCACAAAAAAATCAGTATTTTATACTCATACAAATCTCTACAAAGTTGAAGTTTTTCTGTGCTCTCTTTTCCCTTATCTAAATGTATTACTGGAGAGCACATTCAGCATACTTTATATTTACTCTAGAGACTATCCATAGAGCAATGTAAATACAAGCTATTACTGTTTAATTATTTAAGTTTTAATGAGACTAGAGTACATGAAAATACATGAAAATCTCAATGAGATTTAAAGCCTGTTGGCTTTAAGGCTGTCCAAGTTTTCTTGTGATTCAGAATAAGGGTTCCTGCACCAGAAAACAAAACTTTACTCAGTTTTACACCTCATTGCCCATCCATGGGATTTTTCATTTCCGTATCTAATGCCCAGTTCTGAGTGGTGGAAAGGGAAATTGTCTTGGCATTTGGGAAAATGGAGATGTAATTTTTTTAATATTATGGGACTGTTGCACCCAAGTAACATTTGAAAGCTGCATTAGCAACTCAGTTGATTTTGTTACATCTCATTTTCAGCAGAAGGAACATATATGCAGTTATATATTTTGAAATATATTTTGTTTTAACATATGACCTCTGCAGAGGACAGGTACCAGCATGCCAGGATTTGGGCTGGACTGGAAGAGATGTCATATGGGAGCTGTAATGCTCTAAACCTGGCAGTATTTTTTGCTGTGAATGTACAGTAATTGCAGTTCCCTGTGCAGAGTTTTCCTGAGGCTCTGCATCCTGTACATCCAAGCAGGACATAGGGGTTCATCCCAGAAAAGCTCTTGACTTCCACAGTTTTTTGCTGCAACCACTCACCAACTGGCATTTTTAATTTTCACTGGTGTGCTCTCACTTCCTTCCCATTTTCCCTCTGTAACCTTTGCCTTGTTTTTCATTCCAGTGCAATAGTTTTACTCTCTGTTTCAAACAGGGATTAATAAACTATGCAGGGAAAAGCCTGTTGTTAGCTGAGGGTGCTTTGATCAGGTAATCTCTTGGTTTGGAGGACTGTGTGTGAGCTGCACGGTGCCTGTAAGAACTTCTTCCAAAACTGGTATAAATGGCAGTGGCTGACAAGCTTTAGCTGACCTGAGCAGTGAAGAAGGCACTTAGTGCTTCAAGCAATGTAGGGGATTAAACTGTACTTGTCCAGCACATCTATTGTTAGATGCTCAAATGTAAAAACTTTTATTACAAGAGTCATGGTTCTTTCCCCATATCCGTGCACTTCTTGCATTCATTTTTGTAGTTTTGTTTCCTTTTAAAATTAGACATTCAAACATTAGTCAAGATGCAATTATGTGCGTTTCCATGAGATTATTTTGCTCTCTGCTTCTCGACATACCCAAATATTTTGTCAGATTTATGTCTGAAAACACCAGGAGCAAAGGTGTCTGCGATGCTGAGTGTACCCTTTGCCCGCAGGAATGAGCGTCCTGTTGTCTGTGTGAAGGAGCATCCTTTGCTTATTCAGGAAAAGATCAGAATTTGTATGACTTCCCGGATCTCAGAGAAGAATTTCCCTTTGCTGGGAAAAAAAAAAAAGAAGTGACGTGTCCTTTTCACGGCCTGTTACTCAGTAATGAGCCTCAGCTGATTTCTGCACAGCCAGCAAAATCCCGCTCCTTCTCTCGGAGGCAGCTGGTTTGCTGGCATTTTTACTACTCTCCTTCCCCCTTTTTTGTGGTCACAGTGGTCCAGGCTGTCTTTGGTAATGCCCAGACAGCAGATCATGTCACCAGCTACCTACTGTCTGCTTTACAGTTCTTGACTCATCTCTAAACATCTGGATTTTGAAAGGTTTTTTGTGTGGGTTTGTGTAATACTACTGAGACCTTTCCCTCCAACCCCATAGGCTTTATTTATCATATCAGAGCATGTCTTCTTATGATGCTTCTGTGCAATATAAAAAGTTATATGTCCAAAATATTTTAATCTTCCTTCAATCATTGTTAATGGCATCTGTTAATAAGCTGAGCTCTTTAACCCCCCGCATGCATCCCTGTGTGAGTACGCTGAACTCTATTGCTGCTGGGAGGCTTCTGGCAGTCCAGTGCTTTTTCCAAATTCCATTATTGTTACAAAGCATACTCTGGTGAATGTCCTGGTTTTCCTCTTCAGAGCCCTATAAGGATTCACTCCTTTCCTGTGGGTGGGATCAAAGGGTGTTCACGTAGGAGCGGATCAGGACACGTAACGAGATGTTGAACCTGCAGGTTTATGCATCTTCTCTCATCCATATCCAGGCGTGGGAAATGCAGGATTGCTCCTTTATCCAAGAGAAGGAGTTCTGCAAATTCCCTGGAAGGCTACAAGTGCGCTCAGAAAGTTAAAACAGTGTGTAAAGCCCAGAGTGGATGATGAGGCAGTGAGAGCAACTGGGATATGCAGAGCTGCAGAGTGACTGTTGTGTCTGAGCTGCTGTTAATGCAGCATTTCTCATCAGTTGTGGAGCAGAACGGAGCTGTTTCCCAGATATGTGTTCAATTAGTGTGAGATTGCATCTGTGCATGAACCATAGTGAAACTGCCTCTTTGGGCATGAGCACAGTTAGGTGAATTAAGTGTCCTGTGTGTACATCCGTACTTAAATCTACACCGGGACTTTATTAATCTTCACTCAGCACTGAGCTAATTTTAGACTAGTCAATAAGGTGATATTATATTTTACAATTGATTTTTTTCTCCTTCTTTTTTAAAAAAGTCGTGTTAGAGGAACCTTCTTCACTCTGCTTTCCAGCAAACTCCATTGATCCTTCTCAACCTAAACACTTAAAGTTCAATTTAACATTTAGGGAGTAAAAGGTCTCCAAAGGGACTCATATCCATTGATTTTGTGTCAGAGTTGAAGAGCTAAAGTTTAAAACACACTGAGCCTACAGGGTAAAGCAAGCCTTGTGTTGTGGAACCACGTGGAGCTGTGTAAACTCATTCTTGCCTGTTGTTTCTCTGTAGAGGTTACAATAAAAGCACTTAAAGAGAAAATCCGAGAATATGAGCAGACCCTGAAGAACCAAGCGGAGAACATAGCCCTTGAAAAGGAACAAAAGTTACAAAATGATTTTGCAGAGAAGGAGAGGTGAGTGTGGGCGTTGTGGAGGAGGAGAGATGTATTTTTGTGTTTAATCTCCGCAGCCAGGACCGACTCTCGGGCGTGCGGAGACAGCTCATATATTGAGTGATTCCGGCGATTTATGTGTTTGACACGGAATCATTTGATACTCAGCTTTGCACAGCGAAACAATCGTGAGAGTGTGGAAGTAAAACAAGGACAGATTGTCTCTTGGCCGTGGTGTGGTGGGGGGTGTCATGTTCAGGAGGGTGCAAACCTGCTTTTATTCCTCACTGGCTGTATTGTCCTCTGTGACACCAATCTGTCTCCATTAGCCGACAGGGTAATTCAGCCTGCTGTGTCACAGGACCGTGCTACAGGCTGCACAGCCCTGAGCTGCTGGAGATGAAGCACCCCACAGCCCGGGTAAAAGATGCATTCTCCCCTTTCTCCCTTGGCAGTGCCTGAGAGAGGGGATGTGCACCTGAACTAGCCTGGGAAGGTTTGCACGTTCCTAAGCGTTTTCCTACGTGCCAAAATTAAGAAGAGTTTTAATAATTACTCATTTTTTAAAAAGCCTTTTTAATGCATTTCTAATCTTTTGCAAATGGGCAGGGAGTGTTTGAATCTTCGCATCAGTGGGCAAACAAATCAGGCAGGATAAGACGTAGGGGCTAAAGAGGGAGTTCTTTCAGACTGTGTTCCCTGCCTTAAGAATTTACTTCTCCCAGGGAGCAATAACACTGAAACTATAATATGTTCAACACAGCATGGAAAACCTTCAGTTTACATGAGCTTTTTTGTTGGAGAGTTGGTTGTTTAAATTCAGGTCTGAGTGGGAGGAATCTACCAGTGAGAATACAAAGCTTTTTTTTTTAAAGTCTTCAATACCTGTGGTTGCTTTTCGGTAAGTAGCTTGTAAAGCAAGTGGCTTTAACAACTGCAATTTAGATACACTTAAAAGTAAAATAAAATGGCAGGTCGTATAATGCAAATAAAAGTGTGTAGAAGAGGTTTTGAGGTCTCAAAATATGTAGTTCAGTTTGAAGGGAACTGACGCATGGTTCTCGCTATAAATAGTTATTAACCTGGTCAGCAGTGTTGGAGAATAAATTTATGCACTCTATGGAGTGCAGGCAGGATGCTGGTAGTTTCATAAGCCATTTCACAATTCTGAAATGTGCAGAATATCCTAACAGCAATGTTGTAAAAAGCACTGACTCCTGGGAGATGTTGGAGCAGCTCCTTTCAGAGATGAGTTTTATAACTCCTGTGGCCCAGCCTTTAGCAAGGAGTGCAGTGCCTCCATGGTCAGCTGATGTTAAAATGGGTAGAACCGACACAAACAAGAAAATGTTGCCTGTGGACATAAGAAATGTGAGCATATTAGAGGTTTGCTCATGTTATACAGAAAATATCAATGTGAGGTTTGTTTTGAAATATGTGTTTTCTTAAAGATTAGCTAATAATATTGCTGCATTTGGCACCCATTACAGCTCTGATGAAACAGCTGCTGCATCCATTCACTCTATCAGTTATGGCAACAAATTCCTTCATTATGACACTAAAATGGAAATGTATCATTCTTCTTGTACTAACTTTGTACAACAGAGGGTGCTTGGTGACAATTTTCTCAATGTGTGTGACATTTCCTAAACAAATTATGCTCAAGAAAACCTTCCACTAAAGTTGTCATTTATATAGCAGTCAACTCTTGTATAATGTTCACAGCTTATGTTATGAGGTGGCTACGCTGTTAAAATTTTAATAAGTGGGACCACAGAGTATGAACAGGATCACAACATGACCTGATTTATGGGTCCCACTGAAGCACCTTGTAGCCTGGGTGGTGTTGGCAGTTGTCTGATTACGGTGGAGATGTTTATTCGTTCCATCTTCCAACTTTGCAAAGCCCAAAGAAGTTGTTCAAGGTGATTGTGAGCTCTGTTCTCACCTCTTGTCTTCCCTTGGCAGAAAATTGCAGGAGACACAGATGTCGACAGCCTCGAAGCTGGAGGAGGCCGAACACAAAGTTCAAGCTTTGCAAGCAGGTTTGGCTTCGCTTTCTGACCTATTCCAGTGGTCAGGTGGGAGGTGGAAGGAGAGGGGTCGTTGGGTGTAGCAGGACTGTGGGTGAAGCAGCTCTTGGAAGTTCAGGGAGATCCAACAGGGCTTTGTGAATCAGAGCTTCTTTTGGGCTCACACCCAGTCTGGTGGTAAATACAGGAGAGAAGTCCATGAAGGACCTACAGCATCAGAGTATCCCTGGAATTACAGCAGGCCATGGAACTTCTCATCCATGTGTGTTCCCCTCTGGCTTCACACACTCCTAACTGAGATAACTGTGTAGTGATCATGTGAACCCAGTTTCTACCAGTGTGTCTTGCCTGTTGCTATGACTTGCCATTAATTTTCATCCCTGTACTCCTAGAGATTCCAGGTCTGGCCAGGCACATTTGGCTTTGTTTACTATGAGAAAACAAGGAGGTTTTTTCCCTGGACTATTGCAATGAATATTTCAAATAAATAATCAGTCTAACCAGTTTAATAAGAAATTAATAATGTCTAGCTTTGTTAAGCAGAAACTGGGATTTTTTTTTTTTTTGCAATGTAACAGAAATACCATAAGAAATTTTTAAAAAATAAAAATTCTATGTTTTTTCTAATTCATAAGCCTAGGTAGAAAGATACAGCAAAGAATTTTTCATCAGGAGATGTACAGCTTTATTTATGGCTGAGTGCTGCTGTTTCAGTACTGTAATGCTCCATGTTTATGCCTTTTAGCCTTGGAAAAAACCAGGACAGAACTATTTGATCTGAAAACAAAATACGATGAAGAAACTACTGCAAAGTAAGATTTCCTTGTTTTCTTTCTATGTCTCCCTTCAGGGTATCACTGCTTTTTTTTTTGTTTTGCATCTGTCTGTTGGAGACAGACGAGATGGGGGAGGCTCAGGCGTCCAAATTTGTTGGAAAACATGGTCATAATTTGGCCTCCTATGGAGAGTTTATTAGATTTCATCTTTTCTTCCACCCAGTAAGACTTTTCCTGGCACACATGCTGCTGCTTTCCTGGTTTCATTCTCAGGTGCTTCACCTGTGTATCTTTGACACTATATATCTTTTGCATTATCTTTAGAAAAAGGGAAGTTTCAGAAATACTTGCTATGATCTTTCGATCTTGGTGAAAAAAAAATTTAATTTAGCAAAGGATTTCTGTGTCACTGTTAGGCACCCTGGTTCTTTCTACTCCTGGGGTAGCAGTCATTGCTCTTTCAGGTTCACCCCAAACTAGAAACAGTAGCATTTTTGGCAGATTTCTCTTGTTTTCAAGTGGGACATGAAGGTGGTAGTCTCAAAAATATGTATATGTTCTCGTCTTTCTAATGGCCACTGTTTTCAATTATCCTCTGGTTTTATTAACAATCAGGGCAGGGAACAACAAAAGAGACAGACTGCTGCTGGTTTCCTTTGAACCCTTCATATTTAAGGAAAGTTAATAATGAGAAGGAATTCTCATGATCAGCAGGATTAAGCCCAAGGAGTCATTTCTGTGTCTGGAAGTGGGATAGGAATGAAGAAGCCGTTTCAGATGGCTGGGGCAATGTAAGGGAAGGGTTGGGAGACACATCACCTCCCTGTGCCCACATCTGCAGAGTCCCACCTTCACCTCACTTCCAACCCTTGCTGCTGCCTTCACCACCCTCCCTGGCACAGCAGAAATGGGAAGTGAAGGCTGCTGGGGCATGAAAATCCATGGGCTGGGTTGGACAGGAGGAGTGACCTGGGCTTGGGTTTATCTGTAAAGGGCTTTGTGGTGTGACTTGTACCAGTCTGGATAATACAGGGTTTTAACACCAGTCAAACTGGCACCAAGTCTAAATTTCTTAGCCCGTGGGTTCTGTGACTGTCGAGGATCTGATTCCCCGCTGAGCACGTGGGGAAGTTGGAGCTCACCAAATTCAGCCCATGGTAGTTCACATTCAATCAGCAATTGGAGTTGAAATGCCTTTTACACCATTCAGGATAAGGTAAATTTTGGGTTTGCTCTGAGTTCCATGCAAGATGAGTTCCACATGAGGTGATCAGAAGTAGTTTTGTTCCCCCATTGATTCATCCCTCTGTAAGAGGCACTGACTAATGATGGGTCTGATGGAGCCTTAAATTCCTGCAGATTGCCAGAATTTTTTTCCTGCACATAACTGATTTTGCTGTTATTTTGTCTTGCAGTCTCTCCTGGGGGAACAGGCAGAGATCAATGGTTGTAGGCACTGAACCTAATGACCCCTCACCCTTTATAATATGTTTATTTGCAGAGTGTTTGCTTCATTTTTAATACTGTTTCCCTGAGTGCTGTAATTTATCTTGAACTGAGAAAAATCCGTTCTCTAAAATATTTGTTTGCATTTCTAATCTCACTCTTTCAGGGAGATTCACACAGAAATATTTTTGTGATTTTGAGTATGATTCTTACCTAATATGTATAGAATTGCATAAAAATTAGTAACATCTGCAGTAACAAGAAGTTTATTGTGTTTTGTGGCAGAATGGTTATGAAGACTGGGTCTGGAATATAGTGGTCATGGAGCTGAATCCTGAAGCAGACATTAAGCTTGTACTTTATCTCCCAGACTAATGTACTGTGAAAACAAACTTGTAGGACCTAATAACAGCAGAAATATTTTATCATTGTTTTGGATATTTATGGCAGGAATAGTTCTTGCATAACAACAGTCATCTGTAGTGTTTGTAGCCCAAATTTTGCAATATGGAAATCTAGAAAAACATGAAAAGGGAACTGAATGTAGACAGGGAAATTGAGTCATCTATTTTAATTATAAGAGCTGGGAGAAATGCTGAAGAAACACCAATAAAAAGGGTGAAAGACAGTTTGATTCTCTTCTAAAAAGAAACCCTCTTTTGATCTAAGTCTGAAAAGCTACTTGTATTGCCAATTTTAATTTTATGTTTTAAAAACATGTGATTTTTATCTTAGGCCAGAATTGTTAGTTTTACAGACACTTATTTGATGCAGATGAATTGGAGTGCCTTCAGGAAAAAAACCAGATAATTGTCAGTTTTTTAAAGCTAACAGTGCTTTTAAGATTTTTCAGCCTCAGAATAAAACTGTCTTTCAACTACTTGAAACTTTGAAAATCTTTCACACCAAAAAAAACCCCCAAAAACAACAAACCAACAAAAATCCCCCAAAAAGCAAAAGGAATACACAGTGAGAAGCCTCCATTATCAGCATTAAGGAGTCTGGATTTTGTCCTGGCGACTGGTCGTGATCTTGAAGTTGGGAATCATCGTGTCAGCTTGTTTATCTTAACGTCCCGTTCAAAGTACGTGCAAAGGGAGGGATGGAGGTGCAGCTGGGCACCTTTGGATGAGATCAGTGGCTGGAATGAAAAACCTCCAGTCAAATCAGGTTCTGTCATCCCCACGTCTAAAACTCCCCCGTTGCCTTTAGCGGGGAGCAGGTGGGTCTGTGCCCCCACCCCCGTGCCGGGCGCTGAAGGTGTTAATGACAAAAAGAAGTTTATTATGTGCAGTCATTGCAGTCTGTCAGCTGGAATATCAGAAGCTGCATTTGACAAGATGGCAGCAGCAAAGTTTTCCATGTGTAGGCTTGAAGTAAAATGTAATTAGCCTTTATGTGCAGAACAAGGATCCATTGATGAATACAGCTGGTCTTTGTTTTCTTCTGTCATTGAGTGTGGGAGGTAAAAGTGTTCTTCTTCATGTTTATTAATACAGGATTCCTTAGACAAATGGCAAGCACAGTTTAATATTTGTTGGAACACAGAGGGGCTTGCCAAAACAGTTGTTGTGTAAGAGGATTTCAAGGTTTTCAGATTATAATCATCTCTGGGTTAAATAAATGAATGATTACTCTGCCTTTTTCAATTAAAGAGGCACATCCTCTCTCGAGGCCTGATACTGGTTTTGTTTGCTGTCCCACACGTTTCTATCAGCAAACCTGGATTTAACCAACACTAATGAGTTTGATCTGGAGATTCTGTCAGAGCTGGAACTGAAAAGCAAACTCAGACTTGAGTTTAGGAAAATTAAAGAATGTTGGGTTTGGGTTTTTTCGTAGTGCAACAGACTTTTTTTTTTTCCCTTTCTTTCTCCTCTGCAGAAAAAGAAACATTCTGTATACATTTCCTTAGTTTTCCAGGGACAAACTGTTCTCCTCAGTAATGTTGCTCTTTCACTTCTGGTTTGCTGCGGAGTCCAAACAAGTGTTTGGGATTCCCAGCTGAGCAGTTAATGCTCCCAGCCGGAATGGTTGAATTCCAGTTTTAGATCAATTCCAGAGCCACCTCTTTGCTCCGACCCCTCCTCTCCCCCAGCCTAAATGAATTCTAATTGGAAAAGGATCTTGGGTTATAGCACATACAGTAGGCTTGTTACATTACTGTTAACATGTGGGTTGAGGCTCCCTGCCTTTGATGAAAGAAAATATCGAATTTCACTGAAATGCTCCATTTTCACCAGCCAACTTTAAGTAGTCTTGTGAGGGCTTTGGGTACTGCCCCCCCCCCCACAATAAAAAGCTTCATAAACAACACAAACCACAAAAAGTTTAGGTTAAGGTTGTCAGTTAGAGCAGCTCTGCCACCAGCTTTGTTACCTGAGGATTTTCTGAAAGGTTCAGACTTTTTGTTCTTTTAAAAGTAGAGTGTGCACAGGACTGCAATGGGATGTTCCTATTTCATGTTTACTGAAGTAGTCATCTGAAAACAACTACTTTCAATAACTCCTAGGAAAAACATTTTGCCTCTAGAAGATGAAGCAGAGATTTGTTGTCCTTCCATAGATCAGACTGATTATTTTTGTTTTTGGCACAGCTGAGGATGACACAGGAGGGCATATGGGAACAGAAGGAGGTGTCTGTGGTTTTTGACTCTTTGGGGTGAAGGCTCCTCTTCCACATTATCAAACAGACCTGTTCTCCAGGCATCAGTGTAGACTAAAGTTATAAAGATGTAATTTTCTGCGTGGAAGGACTGTAGGACTGAGCTTGAAGACAGACAGAGGACTAGAAGTTGTAGAGAATTCCTGAAGAGTTATTTCTGCCCCAAGTTATGTGGTGGAATTGGATTTCAAGTATTTTGGGGCAAATCTCCGTTAACTTGGACTTCAGGGGAATCATTCCCCAATATATTGTGAGAATTGAATTATTTACTTCGATTTTTTTTTAACCAAATCTTTCTTGGTTAAGTGCTGGCTGGTGCCAATATATCACTTCTCAAATGTTTGTAGTTTTCCATTTTGATGGGGCTCAGGGTCAAATTGAATAAAAAATAAAGTCATGCTCCCTCCAGCATCACATAATTACTGTGATAGATGATCTCAAATGCTGCTTCCCCCCATTGAGCATGAAATACTGTAGTTAGGGTGGTTGTGTTGTACATGACACGAAATAGCTTCTATTTGCTGTGCCTTTAAGGTCTTAAAGTTTCCTATTTCCTGTTCTTTTGATGAGTCATTAACTTCTAATGCTCAGCTCTGGAGTTATTGCTGTATTTAAAGTGATTTCCCTAAAAACAGGAGATGGAGAACTTCATAGGCCGTGTCTCTTGGTATTTTCTCTTCTTAAATTTCCTAATCATATTGCTACTAGTGAAGCCCCAGGGGTGGTGGCAATGAGGGGATGAGAAACCAGGGAAGATGTTACAGAGAACTACTTTTTTAAGGAAAAAAATGTGAAGAAAAACTGAATGTTTTGAATCTTACAGAAAGCTCTGTCTGCATTTTACAGTTTGAGATGTTTGTTCAGTGTTGTAACTGTGCCTTATGCAAAACTCAACAGGCTGAAAGTCACTACGTAGCATTAATATT